TAAAACTGAAACAAAAACAGTATGTTGAATCAGATTAAGATAACATTTCTGTATCTGCGTACAAAGCCTAACAATTAAGCACTACTGATAGCACTGTACACTTCAGTCAAAGAAGGAAAAAGAGAAACTTTCTCACTGGGTATGAAACACAATTGGGATTACATATATAATATGTAAAGCAAAATGGTAATTGTAGGATCTTACTAAAACTTCAAACTTTGCCCTTCTTAGCACTATTTGGGTTAAAAAAGGGGGGGGGTTACTATCTTATAAGGATTAAGATGACGAATTTGGGATCCTGTTTGGCACAGAGGTAAAGGGAAGTAATCACCACCTGCACTGGTAGTCTGATTTCCCATTTACATTTTGAGCCTGAGAGGAATTCTGCTTCCCGTCTCAAAGTCCAAATCAAACATTTATTCCCACCTTATTGTTTAATGTTTATAAGAGCCTCTTTTTTTCACTACAAAACAAAAATGTACCCCAATCTGCTCCATTTAGGGATCTTGCAGTAGGGAAGTGGGGGTGGGGAAGGATCGTTTCTCAAAGATCTTTCGAAATTAGCTATCAGATGAAATATTAAAACATGGAAAAGTTGTATATACATTTCGTTTACTTACAAATTCTAGCGAGGTTTTAAAGCGTCGACTGTCAGCGTCAGCGGAGCCCTTCGAGTGTTCTTTCTGCCCCAGGCTGCACCCCTCCGACGCGGCCAACAGAACAGTCCCCCTCCCTGTCCACGTGACGCCGACCTCCGGGCGGGCACGGCCCGCGGAATGCCGGGACTGGTAGTCGCCCTGCCCCGCCTCCGCCCCAGTCGGCCCCACCTCTCGCCACGCCCCAGCAGGCGGCCAGCGCCCGGGCGAGCGCCGCGGTGAGCGCGCGCATCAGAGCCACACGTCCGCGTCCTCTGGGGCCAACTGACTGGAAGACAGGCATCCCTGCAAGACGAGCACCCCAGCCCTTATAATGACCTAAAATCCACAGGCTGGAAGAACCCACGGAACCAAACAGTGGAGGCTCTGCCCAATGATTACGGCAAGCACCAGTCGGACATCACTTGGAAGCCGGCCTCTACCATTACTAGGTGCATGTCCTCAAACGTGCTGAATCTAAACCTCGTTTGCTCCTGTTAATTGGGGACAACGCTACATAGCTCAAGAGGTTGTTGTGAGTAAATGTGCTAAGGTACCCAACAGTGTCGGCTAAATGATACTAGTAAGTGATGAATAAAAAATAGCTATCATTTTGATCTATTAACTTCATAAATGTGAAAATTGAGAGATGGCAAGCAGCTTACCCAAGAACACATAATTGGTTAGGGGCAAGGTCAAGTCAGTCTAAAATTTCTGTTCCTGACTTACACCAATTCAAGACAACAGAGAAGAAATCTACTCATGTAAATCTCACTTCTCCTTTCTTCGTTTTTTTCCATAACACTTCTGACCAACAAACTATTTTACTTATCTTTATTTTTACCTGACTCCCATAGAATATAAACTTCAATAAAGCAGGGATTTTCGTCCTTTGGTCTATTCTTTCACTGTTGAATCCCCAGCACCTAGAACAGGGTCTGGCTAGCACATAGCAGAAGCTCAAATATTTATTGATTCTTCATGAAACAGTGATTTTTGGTGCCTTCACTTCTCAATCATCCTCTTTTGGGAGAAGTCGCAGGATCTGGGAACATTCTTAGATGCTGTTTAATAACTGACTGCAATTTCTAATGCAACAAAGAATAGATGGAAGAATATTTACTATATTCCGTTCACTTCGTTAAATTTTCTTAATTTCGATATAACGTTTTCAGCTAGACATTGTCATTTGTATTAACAGTCTTTAAAATATTTTTTCTATCACTTGTGAGAACGGGGAATAAATGGAGCCAGCTACTATGTGTTTAATTTACTTCCTCTTATTTAATATTTTAACCTTTTCCTCACTAAAAATAACAATGTTGCCTCTTTCTACTAAGATATAACCCCAAAGTTATTTCCCTATCTGACCAGAAATGTGCATATTATGCACAATAAATGGATAGGCACTTTCTCGGTAAATAACTGGATTTCTGCTTACTCTAAACAAAAAACATGTTCAAAAATTACCTTATTTTAAAGTAAAATGTTTCATTTAAAATAGCTACTTTAGGGGCTGGCCCCGTGGCCGAGTGGTTAAGTTCGCGTGCTCCGCTGCAGGTGGCCCAGTGTTTCGTTGGTTCGAATCCTGGGCGCGGACATGGCACTGTTCATTAAACCACGCTGAGGCAGCGTCCCACATGCCACAACTAGAAGGAGCGAAGAATATACAACTACGTACTGGGGGCTTTGGGGAGAAAAAGGAAAAAAATAAAATCTTTAAAATAGCTACTTTATTTAGAAATTCAGTGTCAAGACAATGGGTTTCCAGGCCTAGGCCTAACAGCCAGGTATATAAATTAATACCAGTCATTTAACTGAATTAGAATTTTTAGTGTATCTTTCTTCCCTAATACATGGAAAATTCCCTAAGGGTAAAGAATACAGTCATTAATTTAACTCATATATTCATTAAACATCTATGTTGGCGCAGAATAGATGTTTAATAAATATATGAATTAATGTGTATGCTTTGTTATAATCATTTCTTCTGTCTTCTCCTTTGATTCATTAATTCCTCTACAGAGTTCAAATTCCCAAAGTAAGTTACATCCAGAGCTCTGCCACCTCTTAGTATTTGTGGCCCAGCAATTCCCTTATAACACTGGCTATGAGTCTACCGTCTCTGCAGTGTCACCTCTTTTGGGCCACCCTTGTAGTCTGGAAAACATCTGCAGCAGAATATCTGGTTTGACAAGAGTTTACAGTCAGTGATGAAAGTTGGTACCTGTAAGGTTGCTAGCTGTAGGAGGCAGGTAGGGCAGAGCTAGGATTATGTATTCTTACCACCTAGACAAAAGAAGCAAAACCCAAAGCAAATATACATAGTAAAGTTACCAGGCCTCTGATTTTACTTTAAGATTCTCGTGATTTGGCTCTTTGGAAAGCCATTCCTAAGCCTTTACAAGCGTTTTTAATTACAAAACAATACATGTACTCATCATTCAACAATCCGTAGCACCTCTCATCTTCTCTGATTGTTCCATAATAGGTAGAAACTCGTGTCCTTTTCTCTTTTTTAGTACGTCCCCCAAACCCAAGTTTTACAAGTGTGCATCCAAGTTTCCATAGTCACCTGTCCCAGCAAATGTTTTAAAGAGGCTCTTAATATATGCATTAATGTTCATAAAATGAACTTTGTGTATTAATACTATAAAGTTTTATATCCTCTAGTAACTACATCTATTACAGAATTTTTACTATCATATGTTAATAATGAATAATATAACAGGCACCTTATGGAGAAAGTATTACTTACAACGTAAGTATGTAACAGCCAGGTATTACCAAGTATCAATATACTCTTCAACATTTTGTCAGAAAAGAGTTAAGTCCCCCAAATTTTCCAAATATACTACCTAACCCAGGCTGACAAGGAAGAATATAGTTTGATTTGCCCTTAAAAGATTTTTTTAAAAAAAGGTAGCATCTCCCTTGCTACTGTTCCTCCAGATTCTTTGGCTATATTGTATACAATAAACAAAGCTAAACTCAACTCCTAACAGGCTAAACCTAGGTGACTCTAAAGCATGTAATTTCTTGTGTCTGGGGCCAAACTTACCGAACTATTAGTGAAAGCACAGTACACCTTAAGATTTCATTAAATTGAAATTTGTGCCCAGTTTGAGCAAGAGTTGCTCAAAAACATTCGAGGGAGTTTAAAATACTTGAAAGAAAACAAATACCTGCAAACTTTTCAGAATCACTTATTGTAACTGGTATCTAAGTTACAGGTTTTTAAATCTAGTCGCTAAAATCAATTATAGAAAATACGTGTGTATATTTGAAAATAACATTAATCTTTCTTTCAATAACTACTCAGACCTTAACTAACTTTTCCTCAGTACCTCTAAATTTGGTTAGCTATTTGCAGATTATTCACATGTAAAATGTGGTATACGGAGGGGAAACAAGCGGGTTTTATCACCTTTTCTTATTTGGTAAACACAGGAAACCCTAAATCAAATGCAATGCATCAAGTCATGCCCAAAATCAAAGTAAAAATAAAGGATCTCAAGTTAAAAAGACAGCGCTGTCATTAACCAAAGTATTTGTTCGTTTCTCACTGTCCAGAACACAGCGCTACCAAGGTTTGCGAACAGTGCTGCGGGCAGAGTTTGCATACGAAGGCCGGGAATAAGACTATATGCTCTGTGTACATCTTGCAAACGGAAACCCACCCGAGGACGCCTGCAGATCGAACTTTGTACACCCTCAACAGGTGACTTAAATTTAAAACGGCGTAACTGCCTTCACAAGGAGCTTGAAAATAAAATTTTCTCCAAGGTGACACCTACAAAAGTTTCTCTCATGCTCACTCCTGCTAGGGACACTTGGAAAGGCACGGCTAAGGTAACAGTCGATCAAAAGGGTTCCAGGAAAACTGCGCAACAGTCAGGGGCGAGGACTGAAACTGCTTCTCCGCCCCGGTCTCTCCCGGCCTTTCCCAGACGCTGGGCACTGGGGGCGGGGGCGGGGGGGCAGACGGGCGTCTGCCGTTTACGGACAGCAGTTGGCACGAGCAGCTGGGCTTAGGAGAGGCAATCTGCCCCGCCAGTTGTCCCTCCGTCGTCTCCTCCCCCTCAGCCCCAAAGCCAAGGACAGCGACGTCCTCCTCCCTCTTCTCCTCCTCTTTGGTGCCTTCAGCCAGGAGGCGGGAGTGACCCACAGCAGCTGACCCAGCACAGGCACTGCCTCTCGGACACCATGGGCCCAGAGGCAGGTTTGCGGCACAGCAGTGACGACGCAGGCGGCGGCCCCGGCGACTCTCAACTGCCTCCCTGACCGCCGCGACCACCGCCCCGCAGCCCCGAAAAGCCATTGCCATCAACGGCAGGAGAATCTAGGGACCCCAAAGCATCTTCGCGATCGACTCAAGCTGCGTCAACAACTATGGCGGGCGAAGGGCGGCAGGCGGAGCCGGTGAGGGAAGAATGGGGATTGTCCGTCACGCCCAGGGCCCCCCTACGGGAAGGAAGAGGGCGGCTCGCCCCTCAAAATGGCGGCGGCAGTGACGCGCCTGCGTACGGAACTCCGCCGGCGCGCCACGGCCGGCGGGAAGTGAGGTTCTCAGAAGCGCCGCCAGAAGTGTACGGCGACTTCGAGCCCCGGGTGGCCAAAGAAAAGTCCCCGGTGGGAAGACGAGTACCGCTAGAAGAGTTCCGGCCTCATTCTGGGAAAGAGGAAGCGAGAGAAAGCGCCTACTACCTTCGGTCTCGGCAGCGGAGGCAGCCGCGGCCCCCGGAAGCCGAGGAGATGCAGACGCGACGCGTTGCTCGCTTCCAGCAGCAGCAGCACTCACCGCAGTCTCCGTCGCATCCGTCTCCGGTTACGACCAGGAGAGGGTTGCGGGACTCTCACTCCTCTGAAGGTGAGGCCGGCGGAGGTAAGAGTCTCAGCCGACAGCCAGGGAGCGGCCGCAGCGGGCGGGCGCGGAGGGTGTGTGTGCTCCTCCTCCCGGAGTTCATCCCCGCCGGACCCGGGGCTTCTCCGCCCCCTGGACCTGCGCCCCTGCGCGGGGCCCGCCCCGGCGCGGGCGGGAAAGAGACTCGGGCGGGAGGACTGGAGAGAGGCTGGCCTGCGGAGCCGGGGAGCTCTGCCCGTCCCCAGGCATCAGTTTAGGGGTGTCAGGACTGCCTCTTTCTACAGGCCTCGGGGGGACGGCTAGTTAGGCGGGATGCGGAATCACTGCAGGCTCGGCTTCATTTCGGTTTCCTCTGTCCTGCGGATGTTGCTGCCACAGCCACTTCCATTTCCTCCTTTAACAGAGGCCAGAAGTCCTCAGCTGAGAAGCATGGTTCTAACCTAACCTTCCAGTCTTTCTCCTTCACTTCCCCGGTGGGGAGAGAGGGAGGGGAAATTTTGTGAGTGGGCATTTGGAGGGATAGCGTGGTTGATAAATTGGCTTAAGACTCTACCCAAAGACTTACACCGGAATGGGGTAAGTCGGTTATCCTGAACTTGAAGCTCCCCAATGTCTGATAAACTTGAGCCGATCGCTCTTTCCGAGTATGGCGGTGTCTGCCAGAAATTCGCCACGTTGGGGGCCCTCAGTGTAACTTCAATGGTTAAGAAGCCTGAGAAAGCAAGATTCTAATTAGTTTTCGTCTGAATGGGCTAAAAGGATGCTGACAAAGTGAGTGTATGGGTTTAGGTACGTCACAGGTGGATCAACTTCCTTAATCTCTCTTCTCCCACCCTGCCCTCCCCCCGATCCTAACACTAAGAGACAGGTGAAATTTCATGTTAGCCCCATGTAAGGCACCTACGAGGTAAAAATCAAGGTTTTTGAATCACAGTGGGATTACATAGTTAGTGGTAGACCATTGATGGATATAAAGAGGAGGTGGATTTTCACTTTAGGGCAGAGGAATAGACTGCACATTTTCCTGCTGACACATTTGAAGGTGTGTTGATTTTGGAAACTTAAAGATATGTAAGTTACTGTTGGATGTAACAACTCAGGACAGTTTAGTCCGTATATATGTTAGTTATCACTCTATTCTAAGATTATAAACTCCCCAAAGACTAAGATCCTGTCATGTATATTGGAAGGGCCATGTTATACTTCAGTACTTACCCTAATTCTGTGTCTCCTTCAGTATCTGGAAGAATACTTTGCCCATAGCAGGCGATAAATATGTTACGTTGTGTTGACTCTCCCACAGAGCCTAGTGCAGCTATACAAGCTAATTTTTTAGCACACAAAGGATTTACCTTTATTTTAGTGAATCTGTAAGACTCTAAACATTTTTCACTCTTTTGCTTTTTCCACATCATTTATGAAACTCTAGCCCATCTTTTAGGCCAGCCCTGGTGGGGTCTAGTGCTTAAGATTTGATGGCTCTCACTACCAAGGCCCAGGTGTATTTCCTGTTCAGGGAACCACACTACCCGCCTGTCGGTTGGCATACTGTGGCGGCTGCATGTTGCTGTGACGCCACCAGTATTTCACATACCAGCAGGTCACCCAGGTCATGGTGGACAGGTTTCAGCAGAGTTTTTAGACTGACACACTAGGAAGAAGGCCCTGACCACCCACTTTTGAAAAGATTGGCCATGAAAACCGTATGCGTAACAGCAGAGCATTGTTTGGTATAGCACCAAAAGGTGAGAGGACGGCGCAGAAAGACCGGACAGGGTTCCGCTCTGCTGTCCACAGGGTCGCTGGGAGTCAGAATCGACTCCAGGGTACTAAAAACAAGCCCATCTTTTAAATTTTCAAAAATAATACTGTTGTAAAGCATCAGTGAATCGTTTATTTTTATATTGTCTTAAGAGTGCATATTTCTGACTAATTAAATTCCTAAATTTTGGTAAACCTTAGTACACATCTCTAAACAATGAATTACTTGTATTTCTGCTTACATATTGCTGTTAATATGCATAATCTCTACCTAGATCATATATTCTGAGTTTTGACAATTGTCGTGTCTGTTCTTTAGAGGATGAACTATTTTCGAATACTGTTTTAAGCCAAACAGGCTCAAAGAAAATCATCCAGAGAACACAAGAAACTCCAGGTAAGAACAGTGATTTTGTTTTTTTCTTTACCTGCCAACTTTTTTAATGTGCAGATTATAGCCTTGTTCATCAAGGGTCCCAAATCATACCTCATTCAGAGTTTCAGTGAATCTTCTTTATAGGCTGTTTATTGAATTAAGCAGTACAGGCACGGGTCAAGAAAAGACAGGGCAGGTACTTGAGTACCTACTAATTACCAGCCACTTTGTATATGTTAATTCATTCATGTAACTATGCAGGATAGATATATTCATGTTATAGATGAAAAAACGAGCTCAGAGTAGCTAAGACTCTTCCCTACAATTACACGATATGTGACTGAGCCAAACTTCAGGCCCAGGTTTGTCTTCTCCAAAGCCGTTTCATTTTCCCCAGGCATCTCACTGTCACTCTCCCATGTAATAATTAGCTACTCATTAAAGTTTGTAAGTGTTGAGTGAATGAATATGTCACACTACCTTCCATTTAAAATGGATAAAGTGGTCTGCATAGTAAAATCATGGCACAATACAATCAGTCTTGTCAGTTTGATAATGTATTTCATCAAATCTAAAATATCATCAGTTGTAAGATCCACTATCATTGTTTTATGTACCACCTAGAAGGAAGAAATGCTGCCAATTAAACTGTAATGTGCCTTATATTGTATGAGGCATCCCAATTTCAGAGATGTTAAAGTGTAAAAATATTTGCATCTTAGTATCAATATAACATGGAAATAGGTTACATTTGATAGTCTACTTAAGTTTTAAAAACTGTTTAAACTATTTTGAAAAGCAGGAGAAAGCATTAAATTCAGTTATTAATCTTAATATCCTTTGGTTTTTAGTTCTGTTTATTTTCTGGGTTTTTTTTTTTGATATTAGAAAAGTCCCAGAACAATAAATGATTGTAGCTATTGAAACTGATCATCTCTGGCTTTTTTTTTTAACCCATATCCTGACTTATTTCCTTATCCATTGCTTCTAATAAGATTACGCTTTATGATTTGAACTATTCTATTCTCTATGTAGAATAAAGTATATCTGGTTCAAGTTCAGTTCCAAATAAACACACCCTTTATGCTTAATTCCTTAAACAGCCTGTGTCACTGTGTTACGAATATAAACTATCTTAGAAAAATACTTTGAGTAGTAGATACTCTAATCACATTTTCCAGGCCATTTGGAAAAACCATATTCTTGAAATTTTATTTACAATAGATTTAATTGCATGTCCCTTATACCTTGAGAAGCCAAAGTTTTTCATCTTTAAAATATAGAATAAATTTATAGAAATTTAGAGTTAAGTAAATTGATGTAATGAAGACTGTTACACCAGCCTATAGACCATTATAAAACTAATGTATAATAGAATGTCTTGAGCAGTCTTTTGGGGTTCACATTAGGCCTATATTTAGGACTGCTGATGAGATGCATGGTTGCATAATGTTGTGGAAAGAGCAGTAGACCTTGGTTGAGTTACTCACCCACCTTCAGCCTCAGGCCTTTATATGATTTGCCTTGTCTAACTCACAAGGCCACTGCGGAAATGATATCGTACATGTAAAATCACTATACATGGTAAAACATACAAATATAAGGGTTTTTTTTTTCCTCATGGCATTTTACAAGAGATGTGAAGTTCATAAAATTTTGCTTAAGCATTTCTTTTTCTCAAGAAGCTTATGCTATAATTGGAAATGGAAAAGACAAAACATTTCTCAGTATAGTCATGTGCCATATAACAACGTCTCGGTCAATGACAGGACCACATATATGACAGTAGTCCCCTTAGTACCATATAGCTTAGGTATGTAGTAGGCTATACCATGTAGGTTAGTGTAAGCACACTCTTATGATGTTCACACAACGATGAAATCGCCTAGTGACGCGCTTCTCAGAACACATCCCCATTGGTAAGCGACGAGTGACCGTATAGATGATTGATAGATTGGAACCCATGCGTAGATTACCTGGAATATATCGATAGCACACTGTCATACAATATAACTAGAAATAAGGGTACGTGCATCTTTGGGAGATTAGGGACACTCAGAGTTCTCTTACTATAAAAGATGCTTTTAAAGATATACCACATCTAGCTCTTGGCATGCTCCCATCTCATGCCTCTTAATGAAAGGGGAAAGAGTTTAGGGAATTATTAAATGAATGCTTATAAAGTCTGTCTAGCAGAGGAATTATTTAAATAGGAGTCACTCTATGGAGCACTGCTTTAAGTACGAATTTAAGGATGGGCCCTTCAGCCTCCTCATAGAATCATAGACTTTCAGTTTAACTTTGGTGTTCAGAATAGTGCTGTAATTGAATATAGGGCCACTGGTGTAGTCGGTAAGAAATTTATCCGAAGATGCCCTTAAGAATAAAGACGTAAACCAAGGGGCCACCTTCTAAAACAACCTAGTAAAGACAACCACATCATTTGTCATCCTGTTTTTGGAAGTTGTGAAAAATGTTGATTATGTTAGTTTAGAACAGGGATACAGTTTGGACTCTTCTCATTGTTTGAAGTTGAACTGAATTATTTTCACGTTAAAATAGCCATTAGGTTGCTAAATCAATTCAGTCTATACATAACTGTTTTTCTATGGCCAGATTCATTCCTTTCTGGAAATCATGAAACTGATTTTATAATCTAAAAGTATACTAGGAAAATTTTGTTTACTTTTCCTAAAGTTAAGTAGATATTTTTATTCTAACAGTTGTGGTTTCTAGCTAAATAATCTTAGATAAATATTTTTGAATGCCTACTGTTTTGTCATGAGCATTTGATTCTTTGGCTGCTATAGTTAGAGCATTCATTCGTTCTCCAGATATTTATTGAGTACCTACTTTATGCCAGTTCCCATGCTAGATGCTGGGGGTGTAGTGGTGAGCAAAAGCACAGATGAGGGAAGAAGATTGCTACAAAAGGATAGTTGCTATTTTATTCTCTAATACCTCTGTCTAATACTCTGTCTCCTTCAACTAGCTTATATAAGGCTATGTATGTAGTAGAGAATTCAGGAAATGCTTCTTGAAAGATGGGAACTGAAATAGTAATTAATGTCTATAGATTAGGTTTTAATTAAGCCTGAAAAAGGTGGGAATACAGAGGAGAAAAAGAGGAAGGTAGTTATAATCATGGGATTATGGACATGTCCAAGATTTATTTTTAAAGCTTTTTATATAAGTTCTAAATACCTGATGTGTAAAATGCTAGCTCAGATAGATATTTCGCTGAATCTTAGAGCTGGAAGATTTAGGGAAGTCATCTACTCAAAGATTCTATTAGTGCAGGTGTCCCTTTGTTAGCATCTGTTCATACATTGCCTGATCATTTTCACTATCTGTTCTGTTTTGGAGACAACACTGAAAGTTTGGTTTTGTTTTTGTTTTGGTGAGGAAGATTGGCCCTGAGCTAACATCTGTTGCCAGTCTTTCTCTATTTTGTCTGTGGGATGCTGCCACAGCATGGCTGGATGAGCAGTGTGGAGATCTGTGCCCAGGATCCAAACCTGTGAACCCTGGGCCACTGAAGTGGAGCGTGTGAACTTAACCACTACTGCCACTGGGCCAGCCCCTTGGGTGTTTTTTTTTTTATATTAAACTGAAAGCTGTTTTGCTGTAGCTTTCTCTTGCTGATCTTAGTTCTGCCTTTTTTGAGCTACATGAGATCAATTTCATTGCTTTTCTACATCTCTGTCTTTAAGATGCATAAGAACATGCTCAGTACGTATTTTTTGAACAAATGAATGGCTGTCCCTTCAAGATTTCTCTTTTAGGTACTGTAAAGGGGAAATTGGGTTAAGTCAGTTTTGTAAAAACAAATACAGGCAGCCAGTGTAATGGAGGGAGCCACTGGTAGCCAGTTCAGAATGTGGTTTTTGCAGTTCTCATACAGAGCTAAACATAATGACTTTTTGTAGAGACAAACGAAACAAAACAATATAATTGAAATTTAGATACAGATTGGGTTTTAGATTATGTTATGTGAGGCTCTTTGAGAAAAAACACCTTGGTTGTCTAAGCAAATGTTAACATTTTATTTAATAGTATTGGCTTCCCTATTAACCTTATGCATTGAATCATACAGAGTCTGAAATAAACCCTGGTTAACATTAACATTTTACTTAAAATTAGAGTTTGCATTTCCTGAACGTGCACAAGGTTGAATAGTTGGAGGGAGTGTATTAACTCTTAGGAAGTTAATCCTAAATTAAAACATGCCATAAATAATACACAGTGAGGTTAAGCCACAAATGGAATAGATAACTGAGTGTTGCTACAATACAGATTTTGGTTCTTAATTGAGAAATTTAGGAAAATTTTATTTGGTATTCCTTTCCTTTTATACAACCATGGTCTGCTGAGAAAAGCTGTGAATTTTTCCATCAAGTCCATAAATTTTTTATGGGAGGAAACTTGTCTTTGTTTCAGTGTTGTATTCCCATACTTAGCATAATGAAAAGCTCGGAAAAACCGTTGTTGAATAAATGGATGATTGTATAGGAAATCTAGTATGTTTGACATTTTATATATTTTTAAATGTTTTCTCTTCCTATGTTAGGGATGAGTGATGATCCTGTGAAGAGCCTGTGTAGACCGCCTATAAGGAGCTCAGGATCTGGTAAGAGATTGTTTTGTCTGTTGTTTTTCGTTTTTCTGTAAATACGATTTTATTTTTAAATAGGGTAGTACATGTGTTCATATGGTTCAGAATTCTAAAGTTACTGTAAATATCCAATGAAGAGTCTCCCTGCCCCCTGTGCTTTACCCCAAGTCTCCTCAAGAGGGGCGGCCAACCTTGTCAGTTCCTTAGGTATTTTTCCAGAGATATTTTTTGGAGATATAAAGAAATTCACGTATAAATGATCTTTTCCTCCCCTTTTTTCACACAAATTTTAGCCTGATAAATATTCCATTCTCACCTTATTGTTTGTTTTTGTTTCACTTAAAATATTGAAACATCTTTCCATATAGGTTTATGAAGGTCTTCCTCATTCTTTTGAAGAGGTTGTGTCTCACGTGTTGCTATGATTCTTTTCATTAGCGTGATGATTTTAAACGAAGGTCAGGGACTTTTTATTCTTCCCAGTATAATGCTAATAAAAAATCCGTGGCTGAAGCTTTGTGGCTCAGGGCTATAAAATGTTCCTGCGTCAGTTACATTTTTTTTTGACTAAAACCTTAAAAAAGTGTTGCCCTTAAGTTGATTTCATGACTGTGAAAGAAAACTAGTCAAGTCATTCCAAGTGGTCTACTTCTACTTTAGAGTTTATTGGCCCATAAGGATGCTTTATCATGGGAACTAAAAAGGAAGCTTATTTATCTTCACATTAGATTTCTCCTCCTCATCATTTCCTTTATGAAAGAATTAGGTTGGTGGTTTGTTTTTTTTTTGATACATGCCTATCCTTTTAAGTATTATAGTGATAAAGATCTGTAAGGTTTTTGATGATGAACCTGTGGTAAAGAACCATATTATGCGTTTCCTTTTAAGCTCTAATCATTTTCTTGCTATCTTTCTTGCAGATTCGGCATACAAGACAAATGGAAATACTAAAATGAATGAATTAGGTTTGTTGATCTCTAATTCTTATAGATTCTCTTTGAGGGTTCTGATTGTCAGTAGAATACAGGAGTACACACGTTTGGTCACTGGCTTGAGATTTACTTTGTTCATTGTCTCAGCTTGTGGGGCATTGCGTCCCCATGACCATGACCTTTCTTAATAGCCTTGGTTTTTTAGCCTATCTGAAATGATGTCTTTTGTTATATTATTGTTTAAATTCCTGTAAGAACATGGGATAACAAATGCATTTTAGTTTTAATTAGCCTTTGTTAAATTCACATATTGAAGGAAGGAATATCAACTTACCAATTAAGGTTTTTTTCTTCATTAACAAAGTGAATTTGAGGTGTTTTTTCTAGTAAGCTCAGTGTCCTTTGCCATGTTTGTTGAACTGATTTAAATTCTTTTCAGTATTTGCCTTGGTGTAGAACATGAGATACCAAGATCTGTGGCTTTAAGTGAACCTACATTGATTGTGGTTGGACTTAGTTTTAAGTTACAATTCTTATCTAAATTTGGAGATGAAAGGAAGCAAGCTTCATTTTTCTTTATAAATAGATACAACTTCTTTTAAATTCATCTTTCACTTAAGTTCAGGCTAATTTCTTTAGAGACTTAAGGATTTATAATGTCTGGGTACTGAAAAAGATCCTTGCAGTATGCAGCTTATCATGTACTTCTACCTACCAGAGTTTAATTACTCTATTTAAAAACTTAAAAAAAAATTTTTTTAGGTTATAGACTCTTAATTGGAAGAGAACTTGGAGCTGAAATAATCTAGCACTTTTACTTTCTACCCTAGATTTAGAAATCATTTTTATAAGTACTTTATAATAGAACTAACTTTTTTAAAACAGTGCTTTCCAGTTTAAAGGAAATTTTTGAGATTAATATAGAGGATAGCACCCTCTGATTCTTTTTATAGTTATGTTTGTACATCTTGGAGTATATAAAATAGCTATTCAGGAAGCTTGAATGCTAGTGATATCCCCAAATTATTCTGTGCTCTCTCCTTCCTGCTGCCCGACTATGACAGTTCTCAAAAGCATGATTAGCATTGAATTGTCTTAAAAGTACCTTCATTTGAATTGAATTTTAGAGGATGAGTAGCAGGCAAAGTGAAGAAGGAGAGTTGCAAATTTTATAGTTTGTTTGGTAATAGACCTCACTATTTTACGTTTAGAAACCTCGCAGTAAGAGAAATTAAACTCCTTTACATTAGGGACAACACTCAAATTAGCTGTGACTCTCAAATATTTTATGTTAAATAATTTTTAGAATGACGTAAATAAGTAGACTTGGATTTCTTGAGCTTTATTTACTAGAATGAGAACTATGTTTAAAAATGTTTATATAGCCAAGACAATGGATAGCCTGATACAATGATGATTGTCAAACTTACAGGATTTATTATTATTTAGGATGTTTAATTCCTAAGATATTATTGGATTATGAGGCACAAAATAACACTGGCTTTGTTTTTAGTGATATTAGCAAGACAGCCTTGCTTAACAAGTTATTGTTCATGTCTTGGATACAGTTGATAAATATTTATTGTTATAAACATGGAATTCTAAAGAAAGCATCTTTAGACACTAGATTAAAAGTCTTAAAAGTGTTTGAAAATAGATAAAATCCACGATTTATTGAATACTTCAAATATAATAACGTTAGAAGTATTAAAAGTAAATGGGGAACTCTCTTATATAAACTGGTTAAAAAAATAATTCTTAAGTCCTTCCCCATGCTTAATTAGATAACACATACATAAACAGAAAAAAGGAGATTGAATTTTAGGCAATCTGGTGTATGCAGGATTGATTATTAGTTGCAAATAAGTTGATACGGAGCGTCAAAAGTATATGGAAATAGGCCAGCCCTGGTGGCCTAGTGGTTAAGATTGAGTGTTCTCACCGCCACGGCCCAGATTTGTTTCCCAGTCTGAGAACTACACCATCTGTCTGTCGGTTGTCATACTGTGGTGGGTCCATGTTGCTGTGATGCTGAAATCTGTGCCACCAGTATTTCAGATACCAGCAGGGTCACCCATGGTAGACAGGTTTCAGCAGAGCTTCCTGACTCAGACAGACTAGGAAGAAGGACCTGGCCACCCACTTCTGAAAAAATTGGTCATGAATAGCAGTGGAGCTTTGATATAGCACTGGAAGGTAAGAGGATGGTGCAAAAACAAAGAAAAAGTAATGGAAATAAATCATATCACGGTGAAAAAAGGAGAGATTGCTATACTATTCATTTTTTCTGATAGCTCAATGAATGAATATAAATCTTCAATGTACTTTTTTTCCATTGTTATAGATTCTAAAATCAGTTCGGCCTTAAAGAAATTTTGCTATACCAAATAACTTTTAAACTATATAAAACATAATGGCTCAACGTTAATATAACTTTAGGGGCCAGCCCAGTGATGCAGCGGTTAAGTTCACATGTTCTGCTTCGGCAGCCTGAGGTTCGCCAGTTTGGATCCCAGGTGCAGACATCGCACTGCTTGGCAAGCCATGCTGTGGTAGGCGTCCCACATATAAAGTAGAGGAAGATGGGCACGGATGTTAGCTCAGGGCCAGTCTTCCTCAGCAAAAAGAGGAGGATTGGCAGCAGATGTTAGCTCAGGGCTAATCTTCCTTAAAAAAAAATAAATAAATAAATATAACTTTAGCAAGGCTACTGTATAATATGACTTACATTGAAGAGTTGTTTGAACTTCTCGTTTTAGGAAGAGTTTAGCTGTCAGCCTTTTTTTCTTCATTCTTTCATTTATTCAAAAAATTATTGAAGGGGACTTGTGGTTCCACATGTGGGGAGCTTGGAAATTGCCACTCCAACCAAAAATCAAGTAAACACTGACAGCTGAAAAATCAGCAACTCTTCTTGGATCCATAAGAAAGAGGAGGACACAGGGCAAAATGCTGCCCCCAAGATTGGGGCAAATATAGAATACAGAATACACAGATGAATACAGGAAGTCGTGGCTTGCCAGAGCAGAGACTCAAAAGTGGAAACCTCTGCAGGAACCAGGGCTGGGGTAGGAAAACCTGAACTGTGATTGACAAATTTCTGAAGCACTCAATGTGAACAAATCTGAGAGTAAAAAATTCCCAGGGGGAACCAGTCATAGAGGAGGACTATGTTGTGAGATGACTCTCCAGGAGCTTGACTGAGTTCCCACAGTAAGTATTGGAGAAAAGTCCCCTTGGGGCTTCCAGCAGGGGAAGGGGAAAAGGAATCATTTTGATGTATGCCAGCACACTCTTTCCTTTTTCACAAGGCCTGCCCTCAGGGAAAGCTATTAACCAGAGTCTGACCTGGAGTATTATCAGGTCCCAAATGACCTGAGGGAAGGGAAATACTCAACTCCAAGACATTCTAGACATCCTCTCCCACCTACAGCGGAAGGAGAAACTCTTGTGAGGTTCACAGACCACAGGCTTAGGCTCACCAAATGACTGAGACCTAACCATAGGACGGTAGAACGCCTTCCCTCCCCCACATCTCACCACCGTGTTACTAAAGGCCCATTTATAGCAGTTCCTTTTACCCTCTGCATCGTGTCTGGCTATCAAGACAAAATTGCAAGACATACCAAAAGGCAAAAAACACAATTTGAAGAGAGGGAGCAAACTTCAGAATGAGATGTGGCAGGGATCTTGGAATTATCAGACTGAGAATTTAAACAACTATGGTTAATATGCTAAGGGCTCTAATGGATAAAGTAGACAGCATGCACAAGCAGATGGGCAATGTAAGCAGAGAGATGGAAATCCTAAGAAAGAAAGAGAAATGCTAGAGATAAAAAACCACTATAACAGATGAGGAATGCCTTTGATGGGCTTATTGGTAGACTGGACATGCTAAGGAAAGAATTTTCAAGCTAGAGGGTCTATCAACAGAATCCTCAAAGAAGTGATAATTTGATGTAATGGAGGTGTTACCTAATGCTCTGGTGGTAATCATATTGCAATATATAAATGTTTCAAATCAACATGTTGTACACCTTAAACTTATACAATGTTATATGTCAATTATATCAAAATTTAAGTAAAAATAGAATCTTCAAAAACCAAAAAGCAAAGAGAACAAAGACTGGAAAAAACAACATCCAAGGACTGGGTGACAACTACAAATGGTGTAACATACACATAGTGAGAATACTAGAAGGAGAGGAAAGAAAGAAACAGAAGAAATACTTGAAACAATAATGACTGAAATTTTTCCAAAATTAATTCAAATAACCAACAGAGTAAATGCCAAAAAATACACCTAGGCATATCATTTTCAGACTACAGAAAATCAAAAATAAGACATCCTGAGAGAACCACAGGAAGAAAACATGTAATCTATGAAGGAACAAAGATAAGAATTACATCTAACTTCTCCTCAGAAACCATGCAAACAAGTACAGAGTGGAGCAAAAGATTTTCACTGTTTAGGGGAAAAAAACACTAGCCTGGAAATCTGTACATTGTCAAATTATCCTTTAAAGCAGAAGCCTCTAGCCAGGCTAACTAAGAAAAAAAAAGGAGGAAAAAAAAGAAAAACTAAGGAAAAAAAGCCAGGATACAGATTACTAATATCAGAAATGAAAGAGGGGACATCACTGTGGGGCCAATGGACAATAAAAGGATAATAAAGGAGGGGACCAGCCTGGTGGCACAGCGGTTAAAATCACACATCCCACTTTGGCGGCCCAGGGTTTGATGGTTTGGATCCTAGGTGCAGACCTATGCACCACTTGTCAAGCCATGTTGTGGCAGGCATCCCACATATAAAGTAGAGAAAGATGGGCACAGATGTTAGCTCAGGGCCAGTCTTCCTCAGCCAGAGGGAAAAAAAAGGATTGGCAGCAGATGTTAGCTCAGGGCTAGTCTTCCTAAAAAAAAAAGAGAAGATAATAAAGGAATACTGTGAACAACTCTATGCCCACAGATTTGATAACCTAGATGAAATTTGATAACCAATTCCTTGAAAGACGTAATCTGTGAAAACTCGCACAAGAAGAAATAGACGATATGAATAGGTGTATGTATATTAAATAAACTGAATCAGTAATTAATAACCTTCCAAAACAGAAAGCACCAGGCCCAAATGAGTTCACTGATGAGTTCTATCAAATATTTAGGAATGAAATTATACCGATTCTGTATAATCTCTTTCAGAGGATAGAAGCAGAGGGACTATTTCCTAACTCATTCTGTGAGGCCAGCATTACCCTAATACAAAACCATCCAAATGCTTTACAAGAAAAGAAAACTGCGGACTGATATCTCTCATGAACATAGAGGCAAAAATCTTTAATAAAACATTTTAGTAAATCAAATCCAAAAAAGTACAAAAAGAATTATACACTATGACCAAGATTTATCCCAGATATGCAAGGCTGGTTCAGCGTTCAAAAATCAGTTAATGTAGGGGCCGGCCTGGTGGTGTAGCAGTTAAGTTCACGCACTTCACTTGGGTGGCCCAGGGTTTGCTGGTTAGGATTCTGGGCACAGACCTACACACCACTTATCAAGCCATGCTGTGGCAGGCGTCTCACATATATAAAGTAGAGGAAGATGGGTAGGGATGTTAGCTCAGGGCCAATCTTCCTCAGCAAAAAGGTGATTGGTGACAGATGTTAGCTCAGGGCTAATATTCCTGAAAAAAAAAAAAAAAAAGAAAAGAAAGAAAGAAAAATCAATTAATGTAACCCATCACATCAAGAGGCTAAAAAAGAAAAATCACATGATGATACCAGTAGGTTCAGAAAAAGCATTTGACAGACTCTAATACCCCTTTGTGATAAAAACTCTCAGTAAACTAGGAATAGAGGGAGACTTTCTCAACTTGATAAAGACTATCAGCAAAAAAACTTATAGCTATCATCATAATGGTGAGAAACTAGAAACTTTTGTGCTAACGTCAGATACAAGGCAAGGATGTCCCTGCTCACCACTCCTTTTCAACGTTATTCTGGAGGTTCTTGCTAGTGCAATAAGGCAAGAAAAGGAAATAAAAAATATACAGATTGGGAAGGAAGAAATAAAACTGTCTTTGTTCACAGATGACATGATTGTCTATGTAGAAAATCCAAAAGAATGGACAAAAAAACTCCTGAAACTAATAAGCAACTATAGCAAGTTGGCAGGATACAAGGTTAATATACAAAAGTCAATCACTTTCCTATATACCAGCAATGAATAAGAGAAATTTGAAATTAAAAACACAATGCAGTTTACATTAGCATCCCCAAAATGAAATAAAGTGTAAATCTAAGAAAATATATCCAAGATCTGTATGAGAAAAACTACAAAACTCTGAATGAAATCAAGTAATGAAATAAATGGAGAGAGATTCAATGTTCACGGATAGGAAGACTCAGTGTTGTCAAGATGTCATTTCTTCCCAACTTACTCTGTTGATTGCAATCCCAATCAAAATCCCAGCAAGTTATTTTGTGGATATCGACAAACTGATCCTAAAGTTTATATGGAAAGTCGAAAGCCCCAGAATAGCCAACTCAGTATGGAAGGAGAAGAATAAAGTAGGATGACTAACAGTACTCAACCTCAAGACTTTCTGTAAAGCTACAGTAATTGAGACAGTGTGGTACTGGCAAAAGAAGAGACAGACAGATCAGTGGAACAGAATAGAGAACCGTAAGTAGATCCACATACAGTCAACTGATCTTTGACAAAGGAGCACAAGCAATACAGTGGAGCAAAGGGAGTCTTGAATAAATGGTGCTGGAACAACTGGACATCCGCATGCGAAAAAAAAATGAATCTAGACTACAGATGTTACATCCTTCACAAAAATTAACTCAAAATAGATCACAGACCTAGACGTAAACACAAAACTATAACATTTCTAGAAGATAACATAGGAGGAGACCTAGACGACCTAGGGCATGGTGATGCCTCTTCAGATATAAACCAAAGGCACGATCCGTGAAAGAAATCATTGATAAGCTGAACTTCAGTAATGTGAAAAACTTCCGCTCTGCAACAGACAATGTCAAGAGAACGAGAAGACAAACCATAGACTGGGAGCAAATGTTTGCAAATGACACATCTGATAAAGAAGTATTATCCAAAATATTCAAAGGACTCTTAAAATTCAATAATAAAACGACAATTTAAAAAAACAACCAAAGACCTTAACAGGCACTTCAACAAAGAAGATATACAGATGGCAATTAAGCATATGAAAAGATGCTCCACATCATAGGTCGTCAGGGAAGTGCAATTTAAAACGAGATACCACTGCACACCTATTAGAATGGCCAAAATCCAGAACACTCACTGCACCAAGTGCTGGCAGTGACATGGAGCAACAGGAACTCTTGTTCCTTGCTAGCGGGAGTGCAAAATGGTACAACTACTTTGAAGATGGTCTGACGGTTTCTTACAAAACTAAACACATTCTTACCATAGGATCCAGCAATCGTACTCCTTGATATTACCCGAAGGAGTTGAAAAGTTATGTCCACACAAAACCTGCACAGACATTTGTAGCAGCTTTATTCAAAATTGCCAAAACTTGGAAGCAACCAAGATGTCTTTCAGTAGGTGAATGGAAATAAACTGGTATATCCAGACAATGGAATTTAGTTTAGCACTAAAAAGGAATGGGCTATCAAGCCACAAAAAGACATGGAGGAATCTTAAATGCATATTAGTAAGTGAAAGAAACCGATATAGAAAGGATACACACTGTATGATTCCAACTATATGACTTTCTGGAAAAGGCAAAACCATTGAAACGGTAAAAAGACCAGTGGTTTCCAAGGGTTTCAGAAGTGGGAAGGATGAATGGGTGGAGCACAGAGGATTTTGGGGGCATTGAAAATACTCTGTGTGATACCATAACGATGGATGCCTATCATTATACATTTGTCCAAACCCATAGAATATACAGCACCAAGAGTGAACTGTAATGTAAATTATGGTCCTTGGGTAATTATGATGTGTCAACATAGGTTCATCAATTGTAACAAATGTACCACTGTGGTGGGGGAGGTTGATAATGGGGGAGGCTATGCATGTGTAGGGGCAGGAGGTATATGGGGAATTTCTGTACCTTCCTCTTAGTTTTCTGTGAACTTATAACTGCTTTTAGAAAATCTTAATAAAAAAAATTGAGTGTTTACAATTGTGCTGTTAGGAACATGACTGATGCAGTGGTAGAAGGGTAGTAGACTGGAAATCAGAAGTCCTTTTTTCTCACTTGTTAGTCCTGACACCCTTAGACAAGTCACTTAATATCTGTCAGACTTACCTATGAAAGCATTCCCTTATGACGTTATGGGAATCAGATAACAGACATGAAGATTTTTTTTGAAAACTAGCAGCATGCAAATATTAAGGACTTAACTGTTACTAAGGTGGTAACTAAGACATAACCATTGACTCTTACGAAAACACCTTCTGTTTGCGTGCTATGTGAATAGTGGTGTAAATGAATAAAGTAAACTGCTGTACAAAGTTTGATAATAGTTATGCACTTAGAAAATAAAACCTCGAAAAGGAAATAATACCTTTGTATGAATGGAAGTACTAATGAAAAAATTTTTAAGAGAACAGCACTAAGACAAGTTGGACTTTCCATTTTTCTGCTTGAAAAAAAGAGAAAATGAAAGGACAGTCTCCCTAAGGATCCTAGATTAAAATAGCACATAGTATACCAGATTCTAGCTTTTTAAGAATAACATAGTATTATCTGCAGTTTTCTCAGTGTTAGTGTTTGTTTGTAGCAAAAGAAAATTGGTAAATATGTTTCACATAGAGATTTGCATTTGCCAGTATTGAGTAGGAGTAGTTTGACTAGTATTATACCAGTAAAATTATACTGATTTGAAGAAGATATTTCCAAATTCACCATATAATGTATGGGAAGTTGCCTTCCACTGTTTTTTCTTTTGCAATGCAAATAGTGGTTAAGATAGTAGAGGAAAAAGCTGAAAAGAAACAAATTTTCAGCTTTGTGGACAGAGTCTGATTCGTGCTACTTCTCATATGATCAGTAATATTTTAGCCCAGTTGTGCACTACCTGCATCTGGGCTTATCTCCCTTTATTTAAATAAATTTCAGAATAGCCCGTGTAAAAATACTGCATTTGAGGTTTGTTTGATACTTTTTGCTCATTTATCTTTGTCCAAATTCTCTGGTTCTGAGAAATAGTGGTATATGTGGGCCTGCTGGGATAGGGGAGTATCTTTACCTTTCTTACTTCCTTTTTGGATGTGCCAGTGCATTAAAGAGCTGGTTGTCAGTTCTACCAGTATGGTAGGCGTTTCAAGGGAGTGTAGAGAATCTGGCAAATAGGAGAACGAGAATATAGGAAATCTATAGGGACTGGAATATTTGTCAATGTAGAATTTAATGTTTCCTGCAAACACAGGTTACTTTTTAGCGCACAGATACACCTGCGGCTGAGGGTGTATAAACTCTTTCTGATTCTAGTTTGTATCAGACTTATTTCTAAAATAGCCTCGAGGGAAATAGTAGATTCCTTTTTTTATGATTTAACAAAAAAAAAATTTAGTTGGTGTGTCTTAATGTTCCCTTTCCTAAATTAGACACTGTTATTTATTCCTAAGCTTTAGCTTTTGATGTTATATACAACATGTGTGCTTTTCTCTTCTAGATGCCACCAGTGTCCAACAGAAGTTCAGTTTCTCTGAAGAAGGTATTTTCTGTTAAAATATCACACAATATATTCTAAATCTTTTTTTGTTGAGGTGAGAAGCAATTTTGATAGGTACTTAAGAGTGAGAGGAGAAATACTATCTTTTTCTTCAGAAAAAAACATTCATGCTTATTTGAACTGTTATGTGGACAGGTAAAATAGGACAGAATGAATGATGGTAGCCTTTATGTGCCTTTTTAGCATCTTTTGTCTGCTTAAGTTAATCATTTTAAGCAAAGCTAATATTTTCAGTTTCTGGCATGTGCTGGCTTTTGATTATGGTATTAAAATAACTGCTTTTCCAAATTCTCATAACCAGTCTGTGTTTGAATAGTACAGTAAAATTTAGTCCATTTTTAAGCCCATCAGAATCTGGAATTAGTCACCTGCATACTGAAATGTTTGTGTATGGGTGTCACAAATGCACAGGTATACAAATACACATGCATATACTAATCTTGTCTGAATTTATGCACTGTATGTAGTGCCCCACCCCCGGTAAAATCTTTCCACTATTTAATGCTCATTTGTTTACTTTTTGACTCTACATTAAAGCCTTAGAATATAATCTTAGAGAGATTGCTTTGAATATTTGCTTGGGATATAATTATGTGCCTCAGAGAACATAAAATAAATGAGTTCACAGCTTATTTAGAACTTTGTGATTCAGAATAGTAAGCATAATAAGTATTGATTCTATATCTGATCATTAAAAAGGCTTCATTTTAGTATTGAATTGCTTGTTTTTGTTTCTTAATCCAGATCATTAGAGCATTAGAATAAAGACTATACTATTGTATTCTATACTTCTTTTTAGGAGAAACTGAAGATGATGATCAAGACAGCTATGACAGTGTTAAGATCAGATACGGGGATTCTGTTAATTTTGGAGGTAATATTGCTTTATGTACATATGATTCTTAAGAGCTGTCTTTTTAGTTAAAATATGAAGATATTCTGTGAATTTGTTTTTTTTAAAATACTGTAAAATATTTTATTAAAACTACTTTTTAAAAAGTATGCTTTTAAATATTTATTAAAATTCCTGATTCCATGTGTACATCTGATTAGGAATGTAATGTCATGTAATGTCTAAACAAATCACTTTTAGCCTGCTTTGATGTTTATGAAATATAAGAAATTTTTATGCTGTAAAGAATAGTTATTTGTACCTTTTAAAAAAATTTTAACGAGAGCCCGATCACATTGGCATTGGTTCTTACTACACCATCAGGAGTGTTAGTTAGCTTTTAGGAAGTTTTAATATACTTAGATAACTACTTTTATCTCTTGATTGTTCAAATTCACACCAAGTTAGTAATTACAGTTTCTGATGTTTATGTGAATTTATGTTTAAGTTTATTCAATGAAAGAATTGACTGAAGAAAAAAAGACTACCAATTTGAGGCTTAAGATGCTAAATGGATTTGTACACCTTATAAATTATGAGTAATTTTATATTTTACTCTTGTAGAAGAGTAATTCTCCATTTTTCCCTCACCACTTTTTGAGAATTTCTGTAATTCCTCTGTTTTACTTTATCATTCCACTTTAAAAATAAGCTCATAAGCTGGTTTATGGGCATTTGGTATTCTATATATTCCCCACTCTTCCTCATTTTTCCTCATTCTTTCTTGATAGAGAAATCCCAAAGGAGATATGCAGCATTCTAGCATAGTGGTTAAGAACTTGGGCTCTGGAGCCAGAATCCCTGGGTTACTCCACTGCTAGGTTTGTGCCCTCAGGCAACTGCTTAACTTCTGTGTTCCTCAGTTTCCTCATCTGGGTTGTTGTGAGGTTAAATTATAATTCATATGTGCAAAGCACTTAGAAGGTACCTACCACATAGTAAATACTCAAATTAAGTGCTGCTATTAGTTTTCATGTATGTATACATAAAGCTCTAAAAGTAGAGACTACCTGAAACCATAAGGCTTCTAGAAGAAAATGTAGGCAGTACACTCTTTGACATCAGTATTAAAAGAATCTTTTCGGACACCATGTCTTCTCAGACAAGGGAAACAATAGAAAGAATAAACAAATGGGACTTCATCAGACTAAAGAGCTTCTTCAAGGCAAAGGAAAACAGGATTGAAACAAAAAAAACCCCACTAACTGGGAAAAAATATTTGCAAGTAATACATCTGACAAAGGCTTAATATCCATAATATATAAAGAACTCACACAACTCAACAACAAAAAATCAAACAACCCATTCAAAAAATGGGCAGGAGACATGAACAGACATTTCTCCAAAGAAGATATACAGATGGCCAATAGGGCACATGAAAAGATGTTCATCATCGCTGTGCATCAGGGAAATGCAAATCAAAACTACACTAAGATATCACCTTACACCCATTAGAATGACAAAAATAACTAAAACAAATAGTAACAAATGTTGGAGAGATTGTGGAGAAAAAGGAACCCTCATATACTGTTGGTGGGAATGCAAACTGGTGCAGCCACTATGGAAATCAGTATGGAGATTCCTCAAAAAATTAAAAATAGAACTACCATACGATCTAGCTATCCCACTACTGGGTATCTATCCAGAGAACCTGAAATCAGCAATTCCAAAAGTCCCATGCACCTCTATGTTCATTGCAGCATTATTTACAATAGCCAAGACGTGGAAGCAACCTAAGTGCCCATCAACAGATGACTGGATAAAGAAGATGTGGTATATATATACAATCGAATACTACTCAGCCATAAAAAAGAAGAAAATTGTCCCATTTGCAACAACGTGGATGGACCTTGAGGAAATTATGTTAAGTGAAATAAGCCAGATAGAGAAGGACAATCTCTGTATGACTCCACTCATATGAGGAATTTAAACCTGGGGACAAAGAGAACAGATTAGTGGCTACCAGGGGAAAGGTAGGGTGGGGGGTGGGGACAAAGGGTGAAGGGGTGCACCTACAACATGACTGACAGACAATAACGTACAACTGAAATTTCACAAGATTGTAACCTATCATTAACTCAATAAAAAACAATAAAAATAATAAAAATAAAAAAATAAAAGTAGAGACTAATTAAGCCATTCGTACAGCCGAAAGTTTGATGCCATAGCTTATGTGTAGAAGAAAACTCTAGCTAAAGAACAAAGAGGGTCAGGCCTGTTAAGAATACTGATCTTCCTAAATTATCTTCTGTGCCAGAGGTCACTGAAGAGTCACAAGACAATCCACTGGAATGCAGGAAGAAAGTATTAGAATTTCATGTATATTTATTTTTTATTTCATCATTTAAAAGTGTCTATTTTTGTCTGTTTTATAATATGCATAACACATTAGTTAATATATTTCAGTAATGTATGGGTATAATATTAGAAAGAAATAATATTTTGGAGATTGATGCTCAAAATTTTTTTAGTAATAGGTGTATGCTAACAAAAATATTTAGCCATCACAGCTGAATGTGTCAAATGCTTCTGTTTCCAAAACAGCCATCTGGTCACTTTTAAACTGATTTAGTTATAAACTCCACTTTTATATGGAAAAAAGTTTTTAAGAAGAGTAGACTAAGATACATAACATATTGACCACTTGCAAGAAAAATTTAAGGCAAAATGGGTATTAGTGATTTCAGGAAGATCCATTATTATAAACTTGCAAAATTTTCCACAACTCAGAGTTTTCATTATCTCCCTTACCTCATGCCATGTTCTATATCTTATATATTTTTTCTTTAAAAAGTGTTTAGAGGGGCTGGCCCCATAGCCAAGTGGTTAAGTTCGCGTGCTCCGTGTCAGTGGCCCAGGGTTTCACTGATTTCGGATCTTGGGCATGGATGTGGCACTGCTCATCAGGCCATGCTGAGGTGGCGTCCCACATGGCACAACCAGAGGCACTCACAACTGGAATATACAACTATGTACTGAGGGGCTTGGGGAGAAGAAGAAGGGGGAAAAAAAAAAAAGACTGGCAACAGTTGTTAGCTCAGGTGCCAATCTTTAATTAAAAAAAAGTGGATAATTAATTTTTTAGATACAACATAACTCTTTAGAAGCTATTTTTTAAAATAAATTATACACCCAAGTGTTCAATTCCCTGGGATTTATCTGAATATTTTTACTCGTGTGGGTATTCATTGTTCTCTCGTAAAGTGTGTGTTTCAGAAGTTGAATATGCTTTATGCTGCACTGTATTCGTGTTTTACTCTTTATGCTGCACTGTATTCGTGTTTTACTCTTTATGCTGCACTGTATTCATGTTTTACTCTTTATGCTGCACTGTATTCATGTTTTACTCTTTATGCTGCACTGTATTCATGTTTTACTCTTTATGCTGCACTGTATTCATGTTTTACTCTTTATGCTGCACTGTATTCATGTTTTACTTTTTAGGTCAAACCAGCAGATCCTCGAGTCAACACTCAGAATCACCTTGGCAGTCAGCACAAAGTGAGTGAGGCCGTGTTTCCCGCGTTGCGTCTTAGACTGTGTGCATGGTCAAGTGCTGCTGTTGTTTTTGAAGATCCTCTTTTGCAGTTAAATGTAAATGTTGAAAAAGAGGTATGATGAATGTGAAAAATCTCATCCTGCATCTTGAATTTGCTTCTTGAATTCGTCATCTCTGTAGCAAACCTTGAATTAGAATTTAAAAAGCAAAAATGTACTGCTTTCTGTGATTTGTTGAATATCCTTGCTTCTAGTCTAAATTTGTTGATTGTTTTTAGTTTAACTGATGCAGTAGTTTGAGCCTACTTATATGGACATATTCTAATAAGGATATAAAATTTTATATGCAGTATGATTTCAACACTATTGCAAAAGTTTGGAAGGATGAATAAATAAGTGATAAACCAGGTATAGTAAAAAATTAATGGTAAGCTAGGTGCTGGGTATATAAAAGTCTTACAGCTTTATTTACAACTTTGAAAATTTTCATATTAAAGTGTTGAGAAAATATAACACACCAAAAGGATTGGAAAGTAATTACTAAAATGCTAACAATGGTCTGTTCAGGATGGTAGAATCATTGATGACATTTTTCTTTTGCTTTTTTTCTGTATTTTGCAGGTTATCTACAAAGGATGTGTATTTCTTAGGTTAAGCAGAAATGATACTGTTTTTTCTTTTTCCTTTTTCAAATCAAGTCCCAGAATTTGTATTAATTATTAATTAACCAAAAATATCCTCATATGCAGAATCTTCAAGGACCTTTTGTTTCCTTCAAGATCATCATTTTTAAAATAGGAGACTATTTTTAAAGAAAAAGTCTTTGGAAATCAGTTTTATAGTCACTGTGTTCATAGAATTCCACCATATATATATGTAATCTCAAAATGTAAATATATATATATGTAATCTCTAAAGCTCCAACATAAATCATTAGTGGAATATTAATCATCTTATATGTTTGCCTTTTGTTATTCTAAATCTTTGATCTTTGGAAGCTCTTAAATGTATCTCCCTATATAAATTAGGCTACACTCATGCAGTGAAATACTTTTCGTTATGAAAGTTCTTTGTATACTAATGAATAGATGATCGGGATATATTTCCTTGAACCTAAGATACCATTGATTTTATGTATCACAGCGAAAGAAAGACCATCTAGTTAAACCATGACATACCATTGATTATAAGATGCAGCCCCAGAAGTGTTTTTTAAAAAGTATTTCTTAGAATTGATGAAAGACAACTTAAAAAAGCATTTGTCTACTTTTTTAAAAAGTATTTTGTTAGTGTAGACTGAAAACAAATCTAAGAATATGCATCTGTCTGTCTTATTCACCATGGAGTCCCTACATGTAATGTTTTGTACACAGTAGGTACATAATAGATGTTGATGAATTTTAAGTTATACATTTGTAGAATGGTGCCTTTCTTTTACAGCTAGCATATATTGCATTTGTATTTAGAAAAAAATAAAGTTGAAAATAAATTTACTTTGATACTTGTATCAAGGGGTAGAAGTAACGTTTCTTCAGAGCATGTTTGGAAATTTACCTTGTTATAATTGTTTGTAATATCATTTCCTAATTGTCTCATTGTATCATTTTGCAGTTGTCCTTAAATGCCATTCTAAAACTTGAAGTAGCATCTTTCACTCCCTAACTACTTTGCAATGTCCACAGATTTGCTTATATAGTATATACCATTACATGTGGACTGCCTGGGTTTGTATCTCAGTGCTGCTAGTTTTAGATATATAATCTTGGGCGAATTATCAGTTTCACTTTCCTTGTTTTTAAAATGAGAATAATAGTATCCACCGCATAAAGTGTGAGAATTAAGTAAAATTATCCTTGATAGCCTGTAAACATTCAGTACATTTAGCCATTATTTTGATGTTATTGATCCTAAAGCTGACTGCTTCTTATCTAATTCCTGAACATTTTGAAATTTGGAAAAGGGGGGAAACATATATATATATAATATGTTTGGGACTGATGAATGAAAAGTTTGATTTTTTTTTAACTATTGGTTTATAGTGTCCATAGTAAACAAGTAAAATGTGGATGAAACATCTTCATTGTTTTTGTTTCCAAGTATTCTATGAGCTTATCTCTGTTTTCTGTTCCAGATCGAGACTTCACAGCTCTTGATAAGCAACCTTCAGTGCTAAGTAAGTGGTTGATTATCCGTTCTTTTATCAGTCAACCAATTCTAACCCTGTCTTATTCTGCAACAAAAAGTTTGAATAGGATTTTAGGTCATTTTACCCTCTTTGCCTTTTAATGCACCACACATTGGTACTGTATGTGATAGTTACTCTGCGATGTGGACATGTGTTCAGGACTGTTTTACCAGAAGTAGTTTATTGGCAAGAGTAAATGGTTAACTTTTTCTTTGTAAACGACATTGAAATCAAGTTCAAGTTTTATTGAGCCCAGTCATTCTCATAGACCAGAGCAGAGGACTTGGGCGTGGATTTGTCTGTTAGGTGGTTGTGTATTTATTTGCTGCCTTTTTTGCTGTGGGAAGTGGTTCATCCTCACTGATGTTATCTTTTGACGTTATCTTCTACTTCTGAACCTATTGCTTTTGTTGTTTTCCTCCCCAACTTTGTTTTGCCTTTCTGATAAATTTAACTTACAGCACTGGAGCATGGTGTACATTGTCAAAGTATGTGAAATAGTATCTTGGTGTATGTGTTTGCCTCAGGCTCGGGATATCAAAAAACCCCTCAGCAACGGGTTGAGCAAACCACAAGAAAAAGGACGTGGATGCAAAGTAAGTTAATAAATCTCTACTGTTATTGAAATAATTTTATTTGCTGTTTTTCTGGATTATTTAAGATACAAAAATATTTAGTTCTTCAGATAAGCATTTAGGTTGTTTGTGATTTCATTAATACAGGACAGCTATGATTACTAGTTTAGTTATTTCCACCTGCTTGGACTGGCAGGAGGCGGACTGGGTGTAAAGTGTAGATAGTGGTGCAAGAAGACCCATGGATGGTGAGTCTGGACTTGAGAAGTTGTCAGCTCTATCTAGCAGCAGTACAATTTGTACCTGATAATGAAATTCTACTCTTTTGACAGTATGTGTTTTATTTTTAGCAGACTTTGTTTACTTGTATATAAATAACTATTTAGAGCAGCTCTGTGTATCCATTATTTTAAGCAATAAAGGGTGAAATCCACAAACTGTATTTTTGTGTTTAGGTTTAGGATGAATTCAATGTAAAAGAATTTAGGAAATACCATAGATAGATGTGATGTAGCAATCACACTCTGAACTCAGTCTATCATACTTTGTGTAGCAATGCGTCCACATTAACCCTTGACAGTGTAAAACAAATCCATGCCTTAAGTGCCCCTTAACTTTTACTCATCACAACCATAGTAGGTCTCGAGGTCATCAGGCATCCCCTTACTTTTATTTAGATAATATAATAAAAATCCCCATTATATCTCTCTTGCTTATGAAATGACTAATTGGACAAGATAACCTCTATGACTTTGTTTTTCCATCATTAAAGCAGTAATGGTCACAATTCATTTTTGTGTGTGCATGTGTGTGTGTGTGAGGAAGATTGTGTGCTTTGGAACCTGTCTCTAAAAGTGGTGTAGAGAAAAAGAGGGGAGTTTGGAGTTAGGGCTCTGGGGTTCCAGTTCCAGTTCCAGCTCTTTTACTTACTAATTGAGTGATCTTGGTAAAGTCACTTAACCTTTGTGAACCTCAATTTTCTTACCTTTAAAGTAGAGATAATAGTGCCTATAACTCATTTATTCTGATGAGCTTATTATATATGTAAACATAGTTTTTTAAGTCTAAATATGACATAATTATTAATGCTTATTATTAACAAGATAGTGTGTAATAACCAATAATAATAACTATGCAAGATGTGTGCCCTCTGCTCTTGACTTTTAGAGCGATTGATTGTTACCATACTCTTCAGACTTGAAAACTTGAGCTTTAGCTTTTAAAAAGATCTTTATTTTAGAGAATTTTGTTACTGTCTCTAATAATGTTTTTAATAAGAGGGATAGACATTACCTTTTTAACACTGCCCTGCTTCAGCAGTATATACCCTGCTAAGTTTGTGTTCTATGAATATTATAAATATTACATACGTTATACAATGACTGTGGTTTAGTCAGTTTTCATCATTAAAATCATAGAAGAGCACATAACAGCTTTTCGTGTATTATCTCATTTGATCTTTGCAATCATGGAGTAAGGTATTCAAGATAAACGTTATCTTGATGGATTTTTTTTTCTAAACTAAAAGACTGTTTCTCATGCTCTTTCACTTGCCATCCTCATGGGGTTTTTTTTTAAACCATTTTTTTGAGGTATGATTGGCATACATTTAATGTATAAATAGCTTATGTATTTAATGGATAGAACTTGATGAGTTTGGAGATAAGTATACACCTGTGAAGCCATCACCATAATCTATACTATAAACATATCTATCACCCCCAAAAGTTTCCTCCCACCCTCTGTTTATTATTATTTTTTTGCATGTGTGATAAGAATGCTTAATATGAGATCTACTCTCTTAAATTTTTAAATATACAATACAGTGTTGTTAGCTATGGGTAACTGTGCTCTGCGGTAGATTTCTAGGACTTCTTCACCTGTATAACTGAAACTTTGTACCCTTTGACTAAAACCTCCTTGTTTCCCCCTCCCTCAGCCCCTGGCAACCACCGTTCTGCTCCCTACTTCTATGAATTTGACTATTTTAGATTCCTCACATAAGTGGTATCCTGAAGTATTTGTCCATCTGTGTCTGGCTTATTTCACTTAGCCTAATGTCCTCCGTGTTGTTGCACATGGCAGGATTTCCATCTTTTTTAAGGCCGAGTAATATTCCATTGTATGTATATATACCACATTTTCTTTATCCATTTATCCATCAGTGGTTGCTTTCATGTCTTGGCTATTGTGAATATTATTGTAGTGAACATGGGCATTCAGATATCTCTTCAGGATGCTAATTTCAATTTGCTCAGATATATATCCAAAAGTGGGATTGCTAGTTCATATGGTAGTTCCATTTTTGATTTTTTGAGAAACCTCCGTAGTGGCTTTTCCAACTTATAGTCCCACCAACGGTCTACAGGGGTTCCCTTTTCTCCACATCCTCTCCACATACCTAACTCTTTTGTTGTTTTGATAATAGCCATTCTAACAGGTATGAGGTGATATCTCATTGTGATTTCGATCACCTATTTCATTGTGCTTTTTTAGTTTGTCATAATCCCATCGTCTATTTTTGCTTTTGTTGCCTGTGCTTTTGGTGTCATATCCAAGAAATCATTGCCAAGACCAACATCAAGAAGCTTTTTCCCTATGTTACTTCTGGGAGTTTTATGGTTTCTATACTTATGTTTAAGTCTTTAATCCACTTTGAGTTGATTTTTGTGTATGGTGTAAGATTAGGGGCCAATTTTATTCTTTTGCGTATGGATATTCAGTTTTCCCAGTGCCATTTATTGAAGAGACTATCCTTTCTCCATTGTGTGATCTTGGCACCCTTGTTGAAGATCAGATGACTGCATCTGCGTGTCCGTTTCTGGACTCTATTCTCTTTTCTTGGTCTATGTGTCTGTTTTTATGTCAGTACCATACTGTTTTGATTACTCTAACTTTGTAATGTATTTGAAATCAGGAAGTGTGATGCCTCTAGGTTTGTTCCTCTTATTCAAAATTTCTTTGGCTATTTGAGGTCTTTTGTGGTTCCATATGAATTTTAGGATTGTTTTCTATTTCTATAAAAAATGCTATTGGAATTTTGATAGAGATTGCACTGAATCTGTAGATTGCTTTGGGGAGTATGGACATTTTAAGAATATTATTTCTCCAATCTATGAACGTGGAATGTCTTTCCATTTATTTGTGTCTACTTTAGTTTCTTTCGTCAGTTTTTTTTCTAGTTTTCAGTGTACAAGTCTTTCACCTCCTTGGTTAAGTTTATTCCTAAGTATTTATTCTTTTTCATGCAATTTTGAATGGAATTGTTTTCTTAATTTTGTTTGTGTTAATTTTTTTTTCTTGAGGAAGATTGTCCCTGAGCTAACATCTATTGCCAGTCTTCCTTTTTTTTCTTGAGGAAGATTGTCCCTGAGCTAACATCTATGCCAGTGTTCCTCTATTTTGTGCATGGGACGCCATACAGCATGGCTTGATGAGCCACCACTGTGTAGGTCCACACCCAGGATTCAAACCTGGGAACCCTGGGCTACCAAAGGGGAGTGTGCAAACTTAATCACTACGCCACTGGGCCAGCCCTTGTTTGTGTTAATTTTGTTTTCTTAATTTTATGTTCTATGAGATGTATAAATACTGCGTATGTTACATAACAACTATTATTTAGCTATTTTTCATCATTAATACCATCATAGTATAGAATTTTCCTATAGTATTATCTCATTTGATCTTTGCAATCATGGAGTGAAGTATTCAGGATAAACATTATCTGATGAATTTTTTTTTTTATAGTAATACAGTTGTAACTTTGGAGACCAGCTTTGAAGCTCCTAAATGATGTCGTTTCCTAGGCTAAACTAGTAATTGTAAAACAGTATGTCTTTAGACTTAAGCTTGATGCCATTTTGTTTCATTTGAGGTTCTTTGTCATATGACCAAAACTAAGACTGTATCTTAGCAGAGCTAATTTTATTCCTCCAGTTTAGTCCAGTGTTTCTCAAGTGAAAGCTTTGGTAAACACCAGGAAAATCCACCAGGAAGATCATTTATATATACAAAAGTTGCAAAACTCCAGGCGAGTTAGAGATGGCAGTATTGGTAAATGTAGGTCCTGCAGATGAGTAACTCAGCCTCTCCACCTTCTGAACCCTGTCCTTCCATTTCCTCTCTCTTAGATGTTAAGATCTGCAGCCAGGCCCACAAGGATGGAGGGAAAAAGGAAAGAGTGGGGATAGTTTTTAATTTGTTTTCTAAAGTAATGATGGAAGTAGAGATTTGATGGAGTTGTGAGAAAGGTATTTTTGAAATCTGTTGTTTAACCCAAACCTAAAACAGAATTACTTGTCTGTTAACAGAAATGGTAAAGTTTTTTTAGTATAATTTATATTACTGATATTTGAAATAGTTAGAAGTACCAGAAGAAATATTTGAATCAATTTGAGGTAGAAAATCGTGAGGATTAAGATTGAGTTTTATGTGAAAACCCCTTATCCGGATAGCTCAGGAATCCATAATCCATATTTTGTCCTTTTTCCCGTCTTTACAGCATCATCACCAGGCAAGAGTTTTCCACATGGCAATTTTTCAGATGGTATAATATGTTTCCTTTTATTATAGTTGTGCTTATTTTCTTTGTCTTCTTATTTGTCCCAAAAGTTTCACCACTCCCATTAAATAATTTGGGTCAAATACTTAAAGGCTTTCTCTCACAAAACTCATGTATTAAGAGCATGCTTTGTACTTCACCTCTACATGCTGCAAATAATTATGAAAGAAATTGGCCTTGTGTCTCAAGGAGCTGTCAATTTAATGGGCGCTCAGATCTTCTGCTCTTTCTTCTGTTTCTGGCTGATTTCTGCCTATTTTCTCTTGGTGGAATTTGTGTTTTCTTTCTCTATTGGAAATACTTAAATTGTGAAACATAAATTGATCGTCTTTCTCACTCCTATCATTAGATGACAGCGTTCAGAAATCAGAACTTTGGAACCAGTCTCCGTCAACCTCCAACCAACGTAAGTTTGTCTCTTCAGTTCTTATTGAGTCTCTAAAATCGGTGATCCATAATTGTTTCTCAGTTTTTTGACAGCAAAATAACTTAATGCTATTTGAAGAACTGTATTTTAAGCACTTCAGAGGAAAAAGTAGATATCTTACGAGCAAAAAAATTCTTTAAGGACAAACTCTATGAAACAGCAGCTGGTTTTTCTCCTTCACTTCATTGTCCATAAGATCAAAAGTAAAAGTTAATAAGTAAAGTGACTGATACTATCAACTGAGTGAACCTGGCTGAGTCAAAAGAAAGACAACACATAGCATGACATAATGGGATTACCATGGGTTTTAGAGTCTACAGACCTGTATTTGAATTAGATTGGACCACTTACCTTCTGTAGAGCCTTGGGGCAAATTTCTTTAATTCTCTAATCCTGTTTATTATCCTGCATGAGTACTAAGAAAATAACAGTGATTCTCAAAATTTTTGGTCCCAGTACCACTTTCCACCAGCAAAATTAGTAAGTACCCGAAAATAAAATATAGGTTATACCTGTCCATATTTACCTTAAAATTAAAGTTGAAGATTTTAAAAAATATTTATTAATTTATTTTTAAATAATTTAGAAGAGTGACAAATTGTTTTATATTTTTTCTAATCTCTTTAATGTCTGACTTAATAAAATGGAGCTGGATTCTCGTATCTGCTTCTGCATTCAGTCTGTTAAAATAGATTGTTTTGATTGAAGTATCTACAGAAAATCCAGCTTTATACAGATATGTAGAATTTTAATTGTCTTCAGATAATTGTGGGTATTCTCTTTTGATACTCTCTAAAACTCAAACTCAACAAGTGGTAGTTTCTAAATGTTATTTGAAATGTGAAATCTGAAATCATATTAATGAACTTTTTGTATTATATTACATAAAAATCCATTGGTCTTATACCTTGAATGGAATGTCACATATGCTGGTCATTTGGGAAATATTGGTTCACTAAGTTACATAGATCTTCCATATGTTGACACATTTTGTAATACAGTGTAAATCACATTTGTTAATAGCACCTCAATCTGAAGACAAAAATGTCTGTAGTACTGGAGCTGTCAGGCTCATGGTGGCAGACACAAGATTTATACAATCCTAATTTTCACTTGAAATCTTGAATTTTATAATTGGTAACAGATATTGTCCGTTTTCTTCCTAGAAGCAGTAGGCTCACTTTATTCATTTTCAAAAAAATGTCTGCCAAATACGGAAGTCTGACTAATCATAGTTTGTCACTGGTTCTTTCAAGCAAAAATATCATGAAAAAAGCACTAGTTCAGTTTACAGCTCAGTTGCGCAAAGTTCTTTTCCTTGAGGCGACTGTTGTACGGTGCCATGCCACGGCAGTGCTTTGTGTATGCTTCCCACTTCTTCACACAGACTCTTAAGATTTCTACACAGAGGTTGAGTTTTAATAAGGTAAATAATTTTAACTGCTTCATGAAAGACATTCTTAGGTGACACTGATAACCGTGAATGTGTGGCCGTGAAGGATACAAAGACTACGCTAGTCCAGTTTGTGCCGCTGCCCTGTGATTCATGCTAAAGCAGCCATCATTTTCCCACCATGGCTTTTTGCACCATCAATGCAAATGTCAACATGGTACAAAAAGTCAACTGTTGTCTTAGTGCTATGAGAATACATTTAACCTCAAGGACCCCCTTGAAAGAATCTCGAGGTACCCCACCAACCACACTTTGAGAACTGTTGCTCTAAAAGGTCCGTAGTACAATTATTATCCTAAAGCAGTCAATCAATAAATAGAAGGTGTAATAGTACCATTGTTGCCATCATATTGAATGATTAAATGAAGTATATAAGAAAGTGCTTTATAAACTGAAAAGCACTAGATGAAAGTAAATTATTGCCAATAATAATTAGAGATGAGTTGCAAACTAAATTTTACCAGAATTAACTTGCATGCCACAAAAAATAGGCATCCATGTAATTAAAGGGACGGCTACCTATCCTAATACATTGAAGACGCTCACTTATAGTGCATCCTTTTCTTTATTCCTTTATGTGCTTTAAAAAATTCCACCTTGGATAATTAACCATGTGAACTCTGAGATTCTAAATTAAAAAATATTTTGTAAAGTATCTTTTAATATTGGTTACCTCCCAAATATTAGCAGTAGTAGCAATAGTTTTGCTTTATAAATTATATCATTTTTGACCTGCTTATGCCATTTCATATATTTAAATCCTGCTTTTTCCTCTTAAGACTTTTATCATTTTGACATTGAAGAGGCTTATGCATACTTATACGTATAACTTAAAACCTATCAGTGAGATTTTCTTGAAAACCTGTGAGAAATTATTTCTTTAAGAAAGTAAATTATCAACTCCTTTCTTTAAATTTCTTCCTCTTTTATCTAATGTTTATAAAGATTAGTATTGGTTTTAAAAGTCACCTGAATCTAATAAAATAATATTTATATCTGTCATTTTGTTTTCCTGCGCAGAAGTGACTGGACAGCCCAAAAATGCACCGTTTGTCAAGACGAAGTGGTGGTTGCTACTCGTTCTGATAGCTGCTCTTGCCCTTGGGAGCTTTTGGCTCTCTCCTACTCCTGAGGTGGAAACCACTGCTGTTCAAGAGTTCCAGAACCGGATGAAACAACTTATGAAGAAGTACCAAGGTCAAGATGAGAAGCTGTGGAAAAGGAGCCTAACATTCCTGGAGAAACATCTTAATAGCTCCCAACCTCGGCCTCAGCCTGCTATCTTGCTGCTCACTGCTGCTCAAGATGCTGAACAAGCACTCAAGTGCCTGAGTGAACAAATTGCTGATGCCTATTCTTCCGTCCACAGTGTCCGTGCCATCAGGATTGATGGGGCAGGCAAAGCTACTCAAGACAGCGATGCTGTCAAACTAGAGGTGGATCAGGAACTGAGCAATGGATTCAGAAATGGCCAGAATGCAGCTGTGGTGCACCGCTTCGAGTCGCTGCCTGCAGGCTCCACTTTGATCTTCTATAAGTATTGTGACCATGAAAATGCAGCTTTCAAAGACGTAGCCTTAGTCCTGACTGTCTTGTTGGAGGAGGAGACACTTGAAACCAGTCTAGGTCTAAAGGAAATTGAAGAGAAAGTGAGGGATTTCCTCAAAGTCAAGTTCACCAACTCTGACACACCCAACTCCTACAAACACATGGACCCAGACAAATTGAGTGGGCTCTGGAGCCGAATTTCTCACTTAGTCCTGCCTATACAACCTGAAAATGCCCTGAAAGGGGGCATCTGCTTGTAAGGGGTGACAGAAGAGAAAATCATGTCTCAAGTTCTGAGAACTTTTCAGACTTTCCAACCAGAGACAGGATTCAGAGCTCTTTTTGAAAGAACTGGTTTCTTTTTGAAGGAAGTTAAGTTCTTATGGAAACCTGAAATATCCATATATATAACCTAATGATCTGTTATTTGAGAGAATCGTTTATTTCCATGAGCTCTCTGTTAATGGTATTTGAGGACTGTAAATGATCTGCAGTCCCACAGAGGATCCCTTCAGATTCTGGGGCGAATCATCGCTGTGATATGACCAGTGGGAGAGAGTAGGCTCCTTCCTATGAATCTTCCCAATTTTTTATCTTAGGTCTTTGAGTTTGTTGAGTTGTTAGACAGCTCTCTAAATGCAACCATGGGTTTTCCCATTTTGTTCTCTTTTACATCATTTAGGTGTGATTTCCTTAGTCAGCTTCCGCTTATAGGAACAAAAGTAATGAAAGGTCATCTGAGTGTGTGTTTGAATTTTTTTCCTTTGTTTTTGGAGGGCGGGGAGGAGGAAGCAAAAGAAAAGAGAGAAATTGTGAAATGGGTTAGGAAAGGAGGAAAAAAACAGTCTTCAAGGTGAAATGTTAAGCCACTGAGACTTAGATTAGTCAAACATAGTCATGTGAACTCCTTTCTCAGAGAATTCTCTTGGGATTTGTTTTTCACATGGTTTTTTTTCCCCTCTAAGAAATTTTTGGTCCTCCCAAGGATTTCGAAGCATGTACATCATGAAATTTTGTATATTTGTTCATTTGACTCTTCTGCATGGGTAAATTCAGAGCAGTTTATTTTGGACATATCCTGAAGCTGTTGTTTTGAATCAAGAAATACAGTTTCAGGAATTGGTAAACCATTTGTTAACCAGCTTTTCTGGGCTGTTGAAGAAGGATTTAATTTTCTGCGTGTCCACTTGTTACAGTCTAAGTCCTTGAATGATGGTCTTATAACAAAAGTAAGGATTTACTATGCACGTGATAGATTTTATTGAGTGCCTCAAGCCAAAAAGAAAGTAAACTTTACCATATGTGAAGAATGTTAAAAGGTACTACTGTACATTACTGGACTATTATAGTATTTTGGTTGTAACTTTGCATCTATAACTGAGCTTATCTACCAACTGCTTTTGTTTTCTTAGTATCTTAAAATTTTAGATCCACCGTGTTTTTTTATTGTCTACGAACCTTTAAATGAAAATTTTGTTTTTAGAGTACCAGAGCCAGTTATTGGCTTCATCATTTACCGTGTGAGGATCCCGCGACTGGTAGTAGAGTGTGATCTAGTTTCTTCCCACTAGGACTACCAGTGTTCATAAATTCACATCCCTTATTATAGTTTCTTCCTGAATGTCAAAAGTCGAATCATCTGATTTATAGAGGATTCTAAAACAAGGTTTTTTAAAAGGCTCATTTTATACATGTATATTATATGGAGAAGCAAATGTTTTTATTAAATGTTTCACTGACCAAAATAATTTTAAAGTAATTAATGTTACTTATATCTTTCAGGAAAAATAATTGTAGCAGCTAATCTGTAAATGACTTTAAAAGCTATTTTAGTAATTTAAATAAATTTACTTTCTTGGTTTGTACCATCTGTATGTGTTGTAAACTTAATAATTCATATGCTTTTTTTTGAATCCTAGAATTTTCCTTACACTAGAACAATTTTAGTGACTTCTGCTAGGAGAAACAAAGGCCAAAGATTGGGAGCCATTCACAAATACACTGGTTAGAAATAGAATCACCATGACTTTCTGTTTTATCCAGGGATTTTGAATTATCACTCAAATGGAATTAATGTAGGTATTCCCAACCTAGCAAAAGAATCTACAGCAGTGTTTCTCAAATTTTTCATTCTCACCTCCCTAAAGAGCTATTTTAGATAATTTTTTTTCTAATCGCCTATCCCTGTGAAATTTCAATACCAGCCATATACTGTATGTCTGTTCATGAACTTTATATATTTTTGTACTTTATACATATGAAAAGTTAAGAGTTTTTTGCCCCCAATAACCAATTTTTGCCCCCAGTAGGAATGCATGCTCGAGGGGCCAGCCCAGTGGCACAGCAGTTAAGTTCGCATGTTCCGCTTTGGCGGCCCGGGGTTCGCCAGTTCAGATCCCAGGTGTGGATGTGACACTGCTTGTCAAGCCATGCTGTGGTAGGCATCCCACATATAAAGTAGAGGAAGATGGGCACAGATGTTAGCTCAGGGGCAGTCTTCCTCAGCAAAAACAGGTGGATTGGCAGCAGTTAGCTCAGGGCTAATCTTCCAAAAAAAAAGAATGCATGCTCAAGAACATCTGTATTTTAGATCATTGCTGCCTAAAACAGTTTGTTTTCTGTTCATGTTATTATAATCCTTTGGAAGGGAAAATTTATTAAGTCATCAGCTTGAAAGTAGGAACTAGGGTCTCTAGAAACTAGGTACATTGTGACTTTGAGTGACAGCATTGGCCCAGGGAAAACCACAGTACAGTACTGGTCTTAAAATTTCTAGAAGCTTAGTTTGGTTCCTTTTTTCAAATGACTTTCTTATATTTAAGGAAGTTTTCTAACCCTCCAATCCTCAAAACAAAGATTGGAAGTAAACTTAATTTTCATTCTCTGAAGAAAACTATGAAGAAAGGGTTTGCATAGTTCATACCATTAGTTAATGCCTAAAGTAATGATATAAAACCCAGTTTCCCTGTGACCTCAGGTCTTGAAAATGGTCTTTTGTTGGCAGTGTAAGGAAGCATTTGAATGCATAAAGATAATGGACTATTCTGCTGCATTGTCCTTACCAAGGTCATAGAGTAAAATCTTATGGTATGAAGATTCTGCTGGCATTAGCCACCTGGGATGAAGATGTGAGTTCTGAATCTGGGAAGACTGCTATTGACTGAAAAAGAGGAAACTCTTGCCTTGAATACCTATCTCTCTGTGGCCTGGATTCAGAGAAGACCTGGTTTGCTTGTGGGCTCTTCTAGATGGTAGGGAAAATTATAGCCTGTCACCTGAGCAGAAACTGGGAGAAACCCCTCCCCATTTACACATTGTTCTCTTTTGCATATTCTTGGACTTTTCTGGAATGTGCATTTCCCTTGCCCCATTTTCATTCTCTACTAATTCTGATTTGTTCTTAAGGCCTTAGTTTTTTAGGCAGAACTTCACTGAAACCTTCCTTAATTCCCTTCCCCCAAATACTGGTTTAGGTGCCCCTTGTTTATTCTCTAATTCATCCTGTATTACCCCTAACACAGCAGTTAGCACACTCCCATTACCATCTGCCTCTTGATAGCAAGAAAATGTCATCAATATATGCACAGTGGTAATCATGTAAAGTGCTCAAATATCTGTTGAATAAAAATTGCAAGCCCTACCTAACTAGCTAGAATACGTAAGTTGCATCTTTCTCAGTGTTTTAAAGATTTCATTTTTTCTTTTTCTCCCCAAAGCCCCCTGGTACATAGTTGTGTATTTTTAGTTGTGGGTCCTTCTAGTTGTGGCATGTGGGATGCCGCCTCAGCATGGCTTGATGAGCAGTGCTATGTCCGTGCCAAGGATCTGAAGTGGCAAAACCCTAGGCTGCCGAAGAGGAGCACACAAACTTAACCACTTGGCCACGGGGCCAGCCCCTTTCTCAGGGTTTTATTTGCTTTTTCCCCGTTATTCCTAAACCTTTATGTAACTATTTCAGCCTGGACTCAATAGCGCTATGAGTAATTTGAGGAAAGAGGGAGGGGATCAATCCCAGAGGTACGAGGGAAACCTTGCAATGAAGGGTCGTTAGTGTGAGATCCTCAAAGGGAAGGTGAATGTTAAGAGACAAAACTGGGAGGCCATGAGGTTTTTCTACAGTGAGATTTGGAATTCGAATTTTCTTTAAAAAGTTTCCTTAACATCTTTTCATATTGCCTAAGAGAGTATTATAGTTCAGATAAGAATTGCCTATGGATGTGAAGAGAAGATGGATAAGAAAGATATTTGAGAAGTAGAAATGACATGGTTTGGTAGTTGAATGTAATGTTACATAGAAAATACCTCATAGAGGACTCCTCAAAGTTCTGTACTACTAAAAATACCTCTTCATTCTACTTAGCTCATACATCTCCTCTTTCCAAATACTAAGCATACAGTGGTAGAGTAAGTTCTTACCTCTGCATGTCTTTATGTTGACTTTTTTAACAGTTTGAATTAAAGAGTTAGGAATTTGTATGTAAATAAAAACCCTGTCCAACCAGCAAAAGTGAAAAGGGGAGGTGGGGTGGGTGTTGTAAGAATATACATCTCAGACTCAAAGACAGGAAAATAGGGAAACTGTGAAGACTGTTCTGGATGGGGACCTCAGCAGCCATTCTCTCTGCCTCTCTACTTTTGGCTTGCTATGCATTAGCAGCTTCCCTTTTGTAACTTAGACATACCAAGAGGGTAAACCTGATTGGCTCAATGCAGTGTATGGATGACCCCTGAAAAGAATATATGATTTAACATAGCTGCCTAGGTCACCCCTTTAACAGGGACCATTGAGTGGGTATGGGGTAGGGCAGTTTCCTAAGGTCAAGCCAAGGAGTGGGCAAATACGGTTAAGGAACAACTGAATATATCTTCAAATGTGTAAAGACCTTTATATAACACGAAGCTATACTGGTTAATTCCTTTCATTTTAGCTTTTTTTAAAAAAATTAAGTGATGTAAGCATCATGACAGAGTGAGCTCTTCCCTTAGACTCTCCCCATTAAGATACAATGAAAAGGACGTTCATAAACCAACAGAGGACATTTACACAACACAATAGGCATCTGAGATACCCACACAGTGATACATCTGAAGGTGGAAGAGCTGTACCCCTGGGAAGAAGTAGAAGGATGTAACGGCATCTCCTCACCTTCCCTGGGAGTGAGTTAGGGCACAGGACCATGCATGGCTCTGAGAAGAGAGAGAGAAGGGGCAGCTGTCTGCAGGAATGCCTTCACACACTCAGTTATTCACCAGCCGTAGGAAAGCTCCACACACAGGAGGCTAAGCTATTGAAGGGGTGTCTTCATCAAGCCAGCAGCCCAGGAGAACAGATAGCAAAAGCAGAGCAAGAATGCCCACAGGATCATGCACATGAAAGAAAGCACCCTTCCCCCAACCTGGTGCATCAGCTTAGCCAGTCAGCCAGAGCAAGGAACCCCCTTCAAGAGCACATGCCCATGCATTTGAAAAGCAGCTGTGGCAAGTGGGCAATTGCAGATGGGCCCTGTCAGCATAGATTCCAAAGGACAGGCACAGATGCCAGGGATTGTGGTGGGCTCAGAAGACACAGCTCCTGACCACCCCCAGTGGCGGCAGGTGGAATCTGTGACCAGATTCTATCACTATTTGAAGGCACAAATCCACCCCATCAAATAGTATGGAGAAATATGTTAATACTCCAAACCAGAAGGAAAATGACAAGCACCCAGAAATCAATCCTGAAGCCACAGAAATTTACAATCTAAGTGATAGAGAATTCAGAATAGCTATCATGAAAAAATGAGAATTCAGAAAGACAGTTCAATGAAATCAGGAAAAAACTAATGAGCAGAGGGAATTCTTCATAAGAGAGATTGAAACTATAAAGAAAAACCAATCAGAAATCTTGGAGATGAAAAACACAATGAATGAGAGAAATATCTGGAATCCTTGAATAACAGAGTTGGTATTATGGAGGATAGAATTAGTAGTTGTGGAGGAGAGAAATATAGACATGCTTCAGGTGGAGGAGAGAGAACTAAGACTAAAAAGAAATGAAGAAATTCTCTGAGAAATATCCAATTAAATAAGGAAATGCAACATAAGGATTATAGATATTCAAGAGGGAGAGGCGAGGGAGAAAGGAGCAGAGGGCTTGTTCAAAGAAACAACAGAGAATTTCCCAAACCTGGGGAACGAGCTGGAATTACAAGTAAAAGAAGCTAATAGAACTCCTAATTACGTCAATGTAAAAAGACCTTCTCCAAGGTAGTAAAACTGGCAAAAGTCAATGACAAAAAATATTAAAGGAAGCAAGGCAGAAGAAAATAACTTACAAAGGAATCTCTATCAGGCTTTCAGCAGATTTCTCATCAGAAACTTTGCAGGCTAGGAGAGAGTGGAATGACATTCAAAATTCTCACAGACAAAAACTTTCAGCCAAGAATACTCTATCCAGCAAAAATATCCTTCAGACATGATGGAGAAATAAAAAACTTTCTCAAATAAACAAAAGCTGAGGGAGTTCATCACCACAAGACCCCCCAACAAGAAATGATCAACAAGGCCCTCATACCTGAATAAAAAGAAAAGGTTTACAAAGCCTGAGCAAGGAGATAAATAGGCAGACAAAAATCAGAAAATTGGAGCTATCAGAACAGGTCAGCAAGCACTTAATTATAACATTGAAGATGAAAGGAAGGAAAACATCAAAAATAACTATAATCTTGTCATTTTAACCACAAACAACACAAAGTGGAATAAGTTGCGACAACAACAACTTAGAAGGGGAAGAGGATGGGAATGGAACCTACTTAGACTAAGGAACTAAGAGGCTATCAGAAGATGGACTGTCTCATCTACAAGATTTTTTATACAAACCTCATGA